TTGTACTGCGTTATATAATAATACTGTTTGGCTTACATACAAATTCGACTTAAGGACAGATCTTGGGAATGGAACTCGATCTTAAATTGGGGACTACCTGTATACTATATGATCTGAAATCCATAGAGTGATAACACCTTTATTGAGATCAGCTGTAGCCCCAAACTGTATAAGTGTATACAGTATACACTGTATAACTTTTCTGAGAAAAAGTTCTGTAGGACTTAAAAGTCTCCATGCTATTTTATACTCATTTGTTTGGTCCCAATCAAGTTATATCAAGCTATGGATTTTGGATCACACAATACAAGAAAGTTGATATTTTCAGTAGCAACACTAGATAACATGTACTGCAGTGTTCGAATTTTTGCCTGCTAACGTTCTATGTATTGAGGAAGTACCCTTCTATCAAGTATTGTAACCCCTAAAAAATCTTCATGTATCCAAAAAACCATGTGTGCAGGTACCACATGTGCACATTAAGCAAGCTATTCTTTAGATAGCCTTAAAATTAAAATCCATCTTTGGGTAATGAAGATGACTTACTTGAATGACTGAGTTTTATTGAGAAAATGGCTTTGTCCATCATCAGCATCTATTTCTCTCAATAAGAAAAGAGCCCTTCTCTCTCCACGCATGAAGTCTCTCTCCCTTCCTCCTAAGAGAACGGCTATGTCAGAAGTTCCATTTGCCTTACAACAGTCTGTAAATGCAAAAAATAGTCTTTCCATTGGCAGCTCTCCCTTTTTCTAAAGGCCAGACAAAACCCATCACCAGAGGCCTTTAAAATGCAGAGAAATGGCCTTATTCAGGCCATCGTTACCTGGCTAGTTGGTATACATCTCTGCCTATAATCTGTTTTTATCACCTGGGTCCCATTTATTTATTTTATTTTATTTATTTTATTTATTAAATTTGTCCCCTGCCCATCTCCCCCCAGTGGGGGACTCTGGGCGGCTCACAACATGTTAAAACAATAAATAAATGTACAATTAAAACCTATAATAATACACATTCACAAAAATAAAAGGGAAAAAATCCAGGAGGCCAATGGTTCAAGGCAGCAA